ACTGAAATAGGCTTTAATATCATCGCTAACCCCCCGCCCGACCAACGGCGAATGCGTGTATGTAGGAAGAATGTGCCCTAACCTCGGGCGAGGTCACTGAGGTACATTTTCTAGTGGAACCACCAATAATGACCGTAGCCTATAAATAATGCAACTTCCTTGTATGTATTACCCGTTTCTGCTACTGCTTTCTGCTGATGTCTCTGATGAAAAATCCGCGATGGATGTCGAAACGTCAGGCGAATAAACGTCTTGCCCCAACGATCGTATCGTCTTCTTCTCGGTCTATAATGTTTCCTAATTGCAAACCGAGACCGAACAGTTGAAGGTGTTAATCATTTTGCATTTTCCTTTCTGCAAAATATATTTCCGGGTTTATAAAAGCGTTGAAAATCAGCTGACACAGTAGTGCTATTGGAATATTTTTAACTAGTGTGCTTTTTAGCAAGCGACTGGAAAGTCATGCATTCAAGTGTCAGTAACCTGTCTTGGCTGAGCTATATCACGATAATACTACTCATTATTATTTGTAGCCGAGATCCTATTGCAGAATTTCAGTTAATGTTTCATAAGCTAGGACACTTACTGTATGTGGCATGCTTCACGTGAGACCGCCTTATGAGATGGAAGCCGTGCAAGTCTCACCATAACCCAGCGCACCGTGTTGGTCGCAGTCGCTTGGGTGGGGTTGATTTTAAAAAAAACTTGCGGATGGCTTATTACTGGAAGGCCTGACCCTCCAGGGCTTGTGTTAAAAAGACAACCCACTTGCAAGTCTTTCAGACTCATTTACTGCATTAAGCAGTCTGTTCCTGCCCAACCTTTATAATAGACTAAACTGCTGCGTATCCAACCAATAGGCATTGTCTACTGTACGTATTGGTCAATAGACACCCTTTATTGAACCAATATGAATTTACGTTGGTCGATTTTGATTCCCCAATGAATATCGATTTTTTACCTGACTCTGATTGCTTTTTTCCTGCTTTAAAAAGGCTTGCGCGTTTACGCCCTCTCCTTTTCTTTCTTCCTTCCGGTCCAGTTTCCCGGCAGCATCAAGGAGCTGGCCGACAACTGGAATGTGCAAACCCTCCAATGGCTGCGGCTCAGCGTCTTTGAACGTCTGCCAAAGCAGTTCCGAGTAGTGGGCGTTTTTGTGCTTTCAACCATCTGGCATGGTTTCTACCCCGGCTACTACCTCTTCTTCGGCAGCATGTTGTGGTACATGTGGGTAAGTGTTGCCGCTGTCGCTGTTTTTTTTTTTTTTGGTTGAAGAAAAAAATCAAAGCGTATATACCTGTCATCGTTGCCCGGCGCCAAAGTAGACAAACTTAACTAAATCCAATTGTCATATTCCAGTACCCAAGCAGTGCGGTACATGCCAAGGGGCTATGGGAACCGACGCGGTCCGCCTTCCTGTCATTGTGGTGTAAGGGAGTGGTTTCTGAACTGTGCAAATCAATCGCGCAAACGTTCCTCTACTTCGTTGCACAAACACTACTGACGTGTCGACTTTTTCAATAAAGTATGAATGTCTATGGTTTGTCGAGGATCCGATGAGCAGTCCTTGCGTTATCCTCCATTGCAGCGGTCTATGTGATGGACAAGAGGTCATGATTATCAACTCGCAACAAACGAACTATGCATTTATGGTGTGAGAGCCAGTCTGTAATCGACTACAATATGTACGATCCAAGAGACAAGTAAGTCACAAATCCGTCGAACTTTACTATAGACTCCCCAGTTTAACCTGCAAGACTTCCGGGCCGCTGGCTGCTGATTTTAATGTGGAAATGGAATGGGTCAAGTGCCCCTACAAATATTCACATTCGGTTTGGTTAACGATGGGAAAGTGATGAAAGAATGTTCAGTTTTTATGGCAATTTGTTCCTAGCGTAGTCGAAAACTATTTTCAAATGTTTTTGGTAAGAGTTCCTCGTGGGGTCTACGAAAGTTGCTTATGTATCATAACCGCCTACTTACAAATGTTAAGTAGGTTTAATTACCTACAATCTTCCAGTTTTCTCCGCGCCAGCCGACGATACAGCAAGGATTGGATGATGGCATTGAACAACATAGGGGTCCTTGGAAGGCCATCGCATTTAATAACCGCTTAAGTCAGTATATTAAGGAAAACGGGCCCTTAGAATTAATCACGGGAATACACGCCTACTTACAGCTTTTAAGTAGAATGACTTTCCACAATCTTCAACCTTCTTCACTTGTTCGCCTTTATTCTAGTTGGGGTTAATGCTACTATTAGAAAATGTACTTCAATGTCCTCGCCCCAGGTCAGGGCACACTCCCCCTACATACCCGCGTTCGCCGTTGGCCTGGTGGGGGGATTAGCGATTATATTAAACCGTACTTCAGTGTCCCCGCCCAAGGTTTCCGTACGCGCCCCAACTTACCCTCGCAACTTTTTTATTTTACAAGATTATTGCGATCTAATTTGTCCGCTAACATGCCCCGCCTGTCCTCTCCC